GGAGCGGAAACAAAAGCGGCGGGCGGGGAGCGCGTCCGCCCGCTCCGGCAACAACGCTCCGGGACGAGGAGGAGGAGGCAAAGTGAGGAAGGGGGGGTGGGGGGAAATCCTGTCCAACTCCGCCCGGCCGCGGCCACCTGCACAATCTCCCTTATCCAGCGAGGCGGCTTTAAGCGCGGCTAAAAATACCCCCCGCCGCCTCCCTCCCCGCTGGATCAAATAGCAGCAGATTGGGATTGAAAATGTAATTAAAGCGGAGGAGGGGGGAGAAGGGTGGCGGAGCTGCCCGGAACCCCCCAGCCCGTCCCGGGGCTCCGGCCGTGCTCCCTGGGTGCGGGGGTCCCTGCGGGTGCGTGACCTGCTCCCGGCCCACGCTGAGTGCTCAGCGTTCCCCGAGGAGCACCGTGCTGGGATTTGCTGCTATTTCTTGTGTTTTATTATATTTTATTTATTTGCTAGGGTCGGAGCATGGCTCCAGCAAGGTCTGTCCATCTGCGTGCTCGGGAGCAAGGGGACAGAGTTAGCCGAGGGCCGGAGAATCTGGCACTGCTCTCCCTGTCTCCATCCAAAGCTTTCCTCCCTCAGCCTTCATCCCGTCCAGCCCTGGTGAGACTTTCCACGGCCACACCAGCACAGTGACGGCAAAGCAGAGGGGCCGTGTGGCCATGGGGAGCCACAGCGCACGTGCAAAGCAGGAGATGCTGCTGCCCCCTTCCCTGCAGCCCTGCGATGTGGGATCCCGATTTGAATCCAAGGTCAGGCAGTTCCAGGGGGAACCTCAAAAGGAGCCAGCCGCTGACAAGGGGAACTGCTGGTGTGAAACACGGCTTTTCAACTTCAAATTATGCTTTTAATCTGCTTTGTGCATATGGAGGAACCCTAAATCCTGCCTTCAACTAGATGCTCGAAGATCGGTGCCAAGGTTGCCCTCCAAGCCACTGATGCACCCCAGTGCCCACTGCTCATTCCCCAGGTCATGGGTGAGGAGGCAGGAGGTTATCTAGGATGGATTTGTGCTAAACAGCTCCACAGCACTGGGGTGAAAGCTCCTTCCCCTGGGATCTCACAGGTTAAAGGGAAGTGCTGCAGGACACGATACTTTTGGGGTCTGTTGGCCAGCAGGAGAATTCCTCCCACAGAAAATGTCAAGTGAAATTCTGGCCAGCAAAAGATGAGCATGAAACCCAAGGCAGGGTGGCGAGAGGGACCAAGAGAGGCAGGGGAATCACAGCACGTCCGCTGTTGTGGTCCCGTTTCCTGGGAGTTCGGGCCACTTCGGCCTCCATCCCGCAGCCTCTCTGAGCACGTGGGGACCCCGCTGAGCTGGGATGCTGGAAGAAACCCTCATAGTAGCAGGGCAGCGGGATCCCAGGAAGCACAAGGAGCAGCAGAACATCCCCCGCTTTGGTAGCATCTTCCCAGCTTATCTGGGACAGCCAAGCCCTGGCTGAGAGTGGCAGGTCCAGACTGAGATGCGCAGAGAGATCATCTCCGAAAACCACTCCTACGCTCCGCCACGGAGCTTGAACATTTATTTCAGGTTCCTTCCCCAGCCTGCAAGAAGATGAGGCTTTGGCAAAGGCCATTAATGATGCCTACCCCCTCATTTACTTTCCTGGATGGAAGGAGGAGAGGCAATGGTGAGCATCATATCTAACAAGATAACTCTTGTCCCCAAAACCTCTGTCCCATGTCCAGGACGGGGCCAGGAGTGCAGAGTTCATTGGGAGAGGGACACCTGGAGTGAACCATCTGTCCCAAAATAGACCTGCCTCAGAGGGCAAAAGGCAAATTGAATGAAAAATAAGTTACTATTTTTGAAGCCTGAATTCAGTTGTTATGGCAACGAAAGCCTCCCGGATCATGCTGTGGAACAACTCCAGACCGAGCGCTGCCTCCAGATCCCATGTCCGGAGAATCGCACACGGCCGAGACCTGCCCGTGTCTCAGGTGCCATCACACGTCCCACTGGACCTGTCCCAAGGCGGGACCGGTTTGCTCTTCTTCCCTCGCCATTGCAGGATGCCTTCCTCCTTCTTGCAAAGATCTGAATAATTCCTAATGACATTGGGGAGTTTCCACGATTCAGGAGCAGGAAAAAAACATCACTCTGCCTTTATAGCATTTTTTTGTTTTTTTAATATCACTGAAACAGGGGCTCTTGCCTGGAACAGGCCACAAGGCCATTGCAGAGCTGCTTGCTCCCCAAAACAAGCAAGGACCCCAAACATGTGGGATTTGCAGGATAGCTACCTAGTGGAGGGGCTCGGAGATGCCCTGGGTCTCCAGCAAGGCTGCAGTTGGGCATCTTGCTGGGACAGGGTGGGTGCAGAGCCGGGGACTGGTGCATCTCGGTTGGAATTTGCAGGCAGTTGGTCCCAGCGGCTCCATCATTCCTTGCTTGTGAGTGTCACTCCCAGAGCAGCTGGGACAAGCTCGCACTGGAAGGGGGAATCGGAATCCCAACGCCCCCCACTCTCCCTTTGGGAACATTGTGTGGTTCACTTCCCAGAGAGGAATTCTTTCCAGGAACAGGCGTTTGGTTTCCATCCAACTTTCTGGCTCTCCAAGTACAATTGTGACATCGGCTGCATTTGATTTCATCCCCAGCCTCCCCAGCCTGCACAGCCCCTTGTTTGGGTATTTGTCCCGGGTGGGGCAGGGAAAGAAGGAGAAAATCCTTATATGGGGGGGGAAAAAAATCTGTCCCCCAGACAGGGTGAAAATCCGTCCCTTGCCGTGAGTACCAAGGATGCAATCCCTGGAAAAATGTGTCCCCCGCTGCGGGGCTGCGCAAATGCTGCCCTCCCGCGGCGAACCGCCGCGCAAAATATACACCGAAAACCGGGCAATAACGCGAGAAATAACCGCGGGGCTGCAGGCTGGGCGCCCCGCTTCATCTTCAGGCGCTGCACGCGACGGGGAGCACGGGCTTAATTCCATGTGAGGAATAAAGCGCACAGGGAAAAGTCCTGACTCCACAGCAAGGGCAAAGGGAAAAGTCTTGAAACCAGCGCCGCGTCAGCAACTCCCCGGCAGCGCCGCAACCCTCAGCACGAAGAGCGACCACCAGGGTCACCCACCCAGCCGCCGTCTCAGCAAGCGCCTGCTTAGCT